TGCAACTATACGCACCGCTCTGGAGGACCGGACCCAAAGAAATGGCAGGCAAGGGAAATCCCAGCTCGACCGTCTGCCGCCGCGTATCAGAAAAGTCTCTGAACCAAAAAAGATGGCGTTTGCTCGCTCCAGGTGTGCTCATATGCTAGGATAATTGGCAATGAAGCACACCTGTGACGCCAGACGCACCAGACGCAATTTATTGGCCCGTTCAATACTCTTTCAGACAAGAGGCTTCTGAACAGAATCCTCCCATACGTGGATTTTCTAGATCAAATCCACCTATAGCACTGGAGTTCCCCAACCGAAGGGGAACTGAGCATTTCACTAGCAAGAAAACAGTTAAACAGAGCATCTACAACGCGAGAATGAGAGAAAAATTATTAACTTTCACTTTCGCTCTCATGGATAGGGAAACCTTCTACGCACAGACATCAATTACCCTATAAATAATTAATTTAGTATTTTATATTTAATTTAGTTTTTAAATTTTTTTATTTAGTTAGAAATTTAGTTTTTTATATTTATGTAGGCTAGAAAATAATGTTTTTTAATATTTTAATTCTTTATATTTATACCCTATATATATTTTCATTATATCCTATATATATATCCTTAAATATTTTAATTATTTTTCATGTGTAAAGATATTTGCGTTTTGCTTTACATCTTGTGTGTATTAAGCAGTGTGTAAGCGAGGTGCACAACTAACGCGCTCTGCGCTGGACAATAGACTGGCTTTGCTCTGGTCTATTGAAAAATCTATTATAGTTTCTCAAAATAGCAACGCACCATCAATACACCTCAACACGCCTCCCTTTTTAGACCAGAACGTCTATGGGCGCACATATGAGCGCAAATGCATTTGCTATTTAAACAGCGTGATGCAAAATGTCAAAACGACTCTTGTGCCAAGCTGAAACTAGCAAACAACAATTGCGTTGCGCCTTGCGCCACATTGTGCCGGGTGGGTGATAGGGCCCTTGATGATTAACCACCCATTGCTTACACAATGTAATTGCAACCAACATCACCAGCATCAAGTTCTATTAACCAGTGGTTTTATTCTTTACCATGAATATCAGAGTTTATATCTGAACTATAAACTGCTCCCCAGAACTTCTGTGTTATTTAATTGTTTGTAACTAACTGAAAAAGTGTAAAAACTAAATCTCTCTCACTCAAACGCAGATTTGAATGCAGCGCTTTGAAGGATTAATAAACATATACAGATCATTATCTTTTATCATTGATGTTGCGTGGTTTTGAATTGAGATTACGATCTTTAATTGTGCAGCTTTATAGTGAATGCATTGATGCAAGCTAAACAAACAGTGACAGAAAACGCCTTTAATTAATATCCTAAGAAAGCATTTAGGTCCCACCACAACATTTTGTATCATCATTATATTTTACAGGGAAGCCAAAATACTTTGATATATATATATATATATATATATATATATATATATATATATATATATATATATATATATATATATATATATATATATATATATATATATATATACACACACACACACACACACACAGTTGAAACCAGAAGTTTATTTTAGGTCCGTTAGAATATCTAAATGATTTACGTTTGCTAGATGCCAGAATAATAAGACAATGTTTTTAAGATTTTTTTTTTATTAATTTCTAGACAATCAAAAGTTTACATACATTTCCCTGGAATTTTAGCTTTGCTTTTAAACTGTATAACTTTGCTCAGATGTTTTGGGTATCCTTCCACAAACTTCACACAATTGTTTGAAGGCCCATTCCTCCTGACAGAATTAGTGTAACTGAGTCAGAATTGTAGGCTGTCTTGCTTGCACAAGCTTTTTCAACTCTGCCCACAAACTTTCTATAGGATTGAATTCAGGGCTTTGTGATGGCCACTCCAAACATTCACTATGTTGTCCTTAAAGCCAATTTTAACTAATCTGGCAGTATGCTTGGGGTCATGGTCTGTTTGGAAGACCCATTTGTGGCCAAGTTTTAATTTCCTGGCTGATGTCTTGAGATGTTGCTTCAGTATTTCTTTATAATGTTTTTTCTTCATGATGCCATCTATGCTGTAAAGTAGACCAGTCCCTCCTGCAGCAAAACAGCCCCACAGTGTGATGCTGCCACCCCCATACTTCACAGTTGATTGGTGGTACTTGGCTTGTAAGCTGTCCCCTTTGTCCTAACTAAATGTAACGCTGGTCATTATTACCAAACAGTTCAATCTTAGTTCCTTCAGACCACAGGACATGTCTCCAAAAATTACTCTTTTTCCCAGTGTAATTTAAAAAAATTGTAATCTGTCTTTTTTTTTTTTTTTTATTCAGGCTTGTTGTTTTTTTTTCCATTTGTCACACAAGGAAGTAGTGTGTTCCTTGAATACTATTCTACAGTTGTGTTTCCAATTTACTCAAATGTTGTCAATTAGCCAGACAGAAACTTTCAAAACCTTGACACTATCATCTGAGCTTTTTCAGAGGTATAATAATCTTACTGTATTTAAACTTGACTTTCGAGAAAAACAATTTCTCAAAAAATATCTTTCTCATTATTCTGCTATTAAGCATAACAAAAACAAATTTGATAATCCTAACTCTCCTTAAAGAGAAAAAGTTAAGTCACATTAAATTCTGACTTTGTTTTAAATGGTAATGTGCCTGGTGCTTGGTTTCAACTGTATACACACACACACATACACACACACACACACAGACACACACAGACACACACACACAGACAGATACACTGGACCACAAATTCAGTCCATTTTTGCATGGGGGTTGCATTGTGTAGGCCAAAATTATGTTGTTTTTTTTTTTTTATTTTTTTTTTTTTATTTATTTTTTTTTTTGGAAAAAATAGCATTGGAATTTCAAGTAATGATTAGGGCCCATAAAGACATTTAGTAAATGTTCTACTGTAAATATATAAAACTTTTTATAACAAAAAAATAAATAATAAAATTGACCAGCAATGTACAGGTACATGCTAAGCACTGATTTAGACAACTTTAAACATCATTTAGTTTTTTTTTTAGTTTTTTTTTTTTTTTTTTAGCACCCTTAGATTTTTTAACCCTTCAGATTTTTTTGAACCCTCAGTAAAAAGTACTTTTTATAGCTCATATTATTAAGGATCACACAAAGCAATTAAAGTATACATTATCCTTTTTTTTCAACTTCTGTAATGTCTTCTGCACATACATTTGAATTGATAGTGCATTCATCACATACTGCTACTTTCAGACATCATTAACAGGTGAAATAAAATACAGTGAATTAAACTATGGAGACTGAGGGACCTATCATACACCCGGTGGAATGCAGCGCAAGGTGCGATGCTATTGTTGTTTGCAAGTTTCAGCTCGGTGCTAGTTTGCTAGTTTCAGCTAATGTTTTGCTGCACACTGTTAAATAGCAAATGCATTTACACTCATTTGTGCGCCCATAGGCATCTGGTATAAAAAAGGAGGCGGGTTAACGCACATTGCTGGCACGTTGCTATTTTGAAAAACTAAAATAAACTGTTCAATAGACCAGCGAAGAGGAGGTCTAAAGTCCAGCGCAAAGCATGCTAGTTGTGCGCGTCGCTTAAACATTGCTTAATACACACAGGATGAACAGCAATACGCAAATAACTTTACAAATTAAAGGATTAAAATATTACATTTTTTTTGTACCCTACATAAATATAAAAACCACTGCCTTCATGCCTTCATCTCGGGGGCTTTTTCCGTTCATTCATGACAATTTGCTTTTGTATAATGTTATTAATATTAGCTGTTTTATTTATTATATGCATATTGCATATTTATATTTTTTTCATTAAAAACAAGCCTAGATTTGCCCACCTGTCAGGTTTTATACCATATGGGGCACAGCATGTCTATTTGGAAATAACTCAGTTTTGTTAACACACTTCATTATTATTATTATTATTGTTTATTTATTTGTTTGCTGGAAATTAGAACTGAGTTTAGAAATAGTTTTGAAACAAATATTTGCGCTTAATAAACTAAATTAATTATGTATAGGTATAGACGTCTGTGTGTACAACACTTTGAAAGTAAAGAATGAGAAGGCTCATCTCTCATTCTCGCGCAGTAGATGCTCCGTTTAACTCTTTTCTCTCTAGTAAAGCATTCAGTTTTTCCACGCACAAAGGCCGCCATGTAAATAGCAAATGCGCCATGGCGCAACGCAACTGGCTCTTAAAGGGAATGGGAGATGATACTCTGGTTGATTTATTCTCAAAACACACCTATAACAACCTATAACAGGGTTGAGAGAATATGCTCAACCCTGTTAGATCATGCGCCACTGCGCAAAGTGAATTTTTCCAACCTTAAAATAGCAAAAGTGGATTCTGACAAGCCCTTACTGCTTGTAAGCCCCTGCGCTTTGGACTTTGCACCTGCTCATCAAAATAGAGCCCTGAATGACTTGCATGAGGAAATATTAATGCTGTATGACATATAGTTTACAAGCCTTTTTCATGTTTGAAACCAGATAATGTTTTATGTTTTATTGGTGTTATAAATAGAAGTAAAGAAGTTTGTATGATCACATTCACTTGTGTTGTGCTGACATTTTAACTGAGGCATTTATACAATGATGCAACATAAATGTCAATACTCCACTCATATATAGAACTTATTGATAAAATTAACAGAATTTGAAAGATTTGACTCGCATCACACAAGAGTCCAGTTTTTTCTTGTGATTAATAGATTAAGTTTGGCATTTAAGAAGCAATTTATTAAAATGGAGATAAAATTCAAATGCATGTGCAGTAGTTAAAAAATAAATAAACGGTGTGTTCGATACACATGCATGCCAAACACACATCAAACATTTATATTTATATAATATATATATATATATATATATATATATATATATATATATATATATATATATATATATATATTAATTAATTACTTCTTTAATTACTTAAATTTATTTATTTATTTATTTATTTATTTTCAGGCTAAAGGCTTTGAGTTGAGTTATCTAGAGAAAGTTCCTGAAGTGAAGGACACGGTTCACAAACAGTCTCTACTGCATCATGTCTGCTCGATTGTTGTGGAGAAGTTTCCAGAGAGCACAGATCTTTACTCTGAGATTGGAGCCATTACTCGCTCTGCTAAGGTAAAGGAAATTATCTTAACACATACTGGATGCAAGAACCCTTTTTTTAAATTAACATGGTTAGGAGAAGACAAGAAAATGAGATGAAAGCACTGCTATCAATAAAACAACAACATCTAAACAGTAGATAATATAGTAATAAAAAATAAATCTAAAAGTCTAAAAGTTTAATTGAACATTTTTTATACTGTTTTCATGGTCATTTTAATTCCTGGTTTTATTTGTCATCATTAGTTGACTACATTAATTATCATTAAGTAACATGAACCAACCAAAACACTTCTAATTATTCTTAATGGCACTGTTTGCATTCACTAATTAATTATTGAAATAATTAAACAATTATTGTTGTACAAAAAGAATACTGATAACAAATAATTAACAAAAATAAAATTGCTTATTCTTAATGTGTTACTTGATGCATGTCCAAACTAATGCATTAATTATTATTATTATCATTTAAACAATATCCTTTTTTATTATAAAATATATTATCTTTGTATTTATTTGAATAAAATGTTCAACTGAAAGTTTCTAAGAGAATGCTGTGCATCAATGTAAACCAGAACAAGATTATTTTGCTTATAAATTTGCTTATAAAGTTTGCTAATTAAATTAATTACCTAGAAAAAATAAGAAAAAAATATTTTAAAATGTTTCAAAACAGATTAAAATAAATATTAAGTTCCAGATTTTCATTATGTCAGACTCCAGTGTACAAACAATGCCAAAGAGCAAATGACTGGTCCTGAGATGTTAATTACTAATTGTTTTGTCTTTCCCAGGTTGACTTTGATCAGCTTCAGGAAAACCTGTGTCAAATGGAACGGCGCTGCAAAGCATCCTGGGACCACCTGAAGGTCATCTCCAAACACGAGATTAAACCAGCCCTTAAACAGCGAATGTCCGACTTCCTCAAAGACTGTGCAGGAAGAATTATCATCCTTAAAATTGTCCATCGTCGTATCATAAACAGGTGCTTTTTACAAAATCTCATTAGTTTTACAAATCCAATCTTTGTTTATAAAAAATACACTTGAGATCTAACATAAAGTATGCAGAATGTGACATTAAAAGTGTTTTACTAGATTTAGAACCAGATATAATAGTTTATACTTTCAGTTATTATCATTTAAAAAAAATGTTGATGTGTTTTGCTTTGTTTTTTGTTGCATTTACAGTTTTGATGAGCAGACAGGTTTTGCACAAAAGCAAGATAACAGCTAAGCTAAGATGTCACCAGCATGGACCATTCCACACTTTGAGACAGACTTTATTGTAGGGATGTAGGGATGATAAGAGAACAGTGGGATGAAGGGGGAAGGAAGTAGGAGGATAAACAGTGAACAGGTTGGTACTGTTGATTGATTGGACGTACTACGATGATGCCCAGAGACTCAGAAAGGGTACCATTTCTGTAATATTATGGTAGAGTGATTGGACTCCCCAATTCAACCTAGGAGGGGAGAGAGGTATATAGGATTGTTAATGGGAGGCAAGGAAATAGAGGGAGGGAGGGTGTGTTCAAGAAAACGAGAGAAACAGTGCTAGAGAGCTGGTCTGCCTTAAATATGTTTTAGGGAGTAGATTAAGAAGGCAAAGTGAGGCATGGTCCTGCTGCCGAACCTTTGTTAGCAAGTTAATTCCATTTTAAGCAATCCTGGTGGAATTTTTGCACAAAAGCAGGCTAAATTAAATTCCTAGAGAGATTTAACCTCTTTAGAGAAGGCTAGCAATCAGTCTGAGATTAATCCTAGTGATCCTTGTGAATTACTGTATTCACAGTCACTTTGTTTACATTATATTTTATCAACCATTAGAATTAAAAATACTATTTATTAATTTCCTTTTGGCTTAGTCCCTTACCTGTATTTATCAGGGTTCACCACAGCGAAATTAAGTGGCAACTATTCCAGCATATGTTTTACACAGCCGATGTCCTTTCAGTTGCAACCCAGAACTAGGAAACAACCATACATTTTCATTTAAACATACACTCTCATACACTATGGCCAGTTTACTTTATTTAATTGACCTATAGCACATGTCTTTGTATTGTGGGGGGCGAAACACCTGGAGGAAACCCACGTGAACAGGGAAAAACATGCAAACTCAACACAGCTGGAACTCGATCCACTGACCTTCTTGCTGTGATGTGACAGAATTAAAATATGTACGTATTCAAATGTATAACGCCCAAAAAATGCTGTTTGTTCAAACTACTTATTTAAAATGAGCCAAACCAACACAATTCAAGTCTTGTTTTTTTGAGGGGACAACTTTTAAATTTTAAAAATGCTCAAATATGAGCATTTGAGATTTCCATATAAGGGATAAAAAGACAACGTAGATGAAAAAATAATAATAATAAAACAGGCAGCATGGTGGCTTAATGGTTAGCACTGTCGCCTCACAGCAAGAAGGTCGCTGGTTTGAATCCTGGCTGGGCCAGTTGGCATATCTGTGTGGAGTTTGCATGTTCTCCGTGTTCGTGTGGGTTTCCTCTGGGTTCTCTGGCTTCCAGCTCAGTGAGAGTTATCAGATTGGTGAGCAAAAGGGCCATTATTTTACTCATCTGATTGACTCACATAATGTTTTATTTGCATCATTAATTATGTGAAAGATCCTGTAGTCTGTTTAAGAATGTCATGAATGTGCATTTATCCCAGCAATCTACAACACATGAAATGACATAGCAGCAGATTTTCATCTTGAATCAGCAAATTTGCAACAGACTAATTTAAACTAGGTCAAGGCACAATTTTCCTATTATACTGGCTTTCTTTATTCTACTTTTGTGCAATACCCCTCTGGTCTCACTGTTTCAAACACTTCAAAACAATGAATCATTTTGCAAAGCAGTCGTTCAATTGATTTCCCTCTCACTGGTGTGTTTGATTTCTAGGTTTCACTCATTCCTGCTATTTCTGGGCCACCCACCATACGCCATTAGAGAAGTGAGCGTCCACCGCTTCAGCAAGATTCTGAGTGAGTTTGCTCTTGAGTACCGAACCACCAGAGAGCGAGTGCTGCAGCAGAAACAGAAACGAGCCAATCATCGTGAGAGGAACAAGACCCGCGGCAAAATGATCACAGAGGTGAGTGTGAACAGCTAAACAGGGCTCATTTTAATCAAGTCTACACCAGATTTGACTGACTGGGTAAAAAAGTGTATACATCCTTGTTAAAATGTCAGGTTTCTGTTATGTAAAAAAAACATAATACAGTTTTTCTTAAACGCTGAAACACATTTCACAAACGTTTTCTCCCCAATATCTCCCCCAATATGTTCCCCAATATCTAAACACAGCACTCTTTTCTAAAGCAACACAAACACAACCACACCTTCTCACTTCAAAACTCAAAAAGATTATGTGTGTTTAATTGTTTAATACAATAAAATATATTTGCAGCGCTATTTTTTATTTTACATGTGGATTTCTATACTTCAATACTGGTAAACTCCACCAAAAAACATGAAGTATTTTTATTTAAATGTTATATTTGTGCTTTTTTTTACTTTGTATATTTGTATATAAAACAATCAAACTATAAAAAGAGCATTAATAATGATCAGCAGTGGTGGAAAGAGTTCTGTAAAATTCTACTCAAGTAAAAGTACCGTTACTTGCCCAAAAATGTAGTACAAGTAGGGTAAAAGTATTGTAATTAAGACTCAAAGTAGGAGTAAAAAGTAGCCCCTTTAAAAGTAGTGAGTATTACGCTGTAAAAAGCTGATGCGTTTACATGTAATTACGTGTGTGTGTGTGTGTGTGTGTGTGTGTGTGTGTGTGTGTGTGTGTGTGTGTGTGTGTGTGTGTGTGTGTGTGTGTGTGTGTGTGTGTGTGTGTGTGTACGTGTGTGTACGTACGTAACATTTTGTAGTGCTTTTAGTTATTGTAAAAGCCATTTCAGTCGTTGCATGTAAATATTTTGGACATCTTCTTGAACACTTTTTATGCTACGTTTGCTGCATGTCTTTAGATAGTTCAGTATGATGTAATTTTCTTTCTTTGTGCGATTTGGTTGGACAGTAATCACATAACTGATTTTTCTAATCCCCATAGACAGGAAAAAATAAGTGACTGCAGGTTGAAGGAAAGTTGTAGAGTAAAAGTACTAAAAATTTACTCAAAAGAAACTAAAAATAGACATTTCTAAAAATACTCAGTAAATTACTGAGAAAAATGACTCAATTACAGTAATTTGAATATTTTTAAATTTGCTCCGTCACACCACTGATGATTAGTAATTATTCATAATATTAAAATTCCAGAAAAAAAAATGCTCAACCTTATACTCATTTTCCCCTCTCTTGAGCTAAAATGCCTGATCAAGCCTTTTAGTTTCTGTTTCGTCATTCCTCCACTAGAGGGAGTGATTATTCCTCCAGATGTTTGCTGTTTGCCTACCTGAGAGCAGTAAGGTCTGATCCTTATCACGGGTATATTTCATGTCCCCCAAGCAACCCGTCTCTGGGTGTTTTAAAACACTACAATTACAAAAAAATAAAACCCATGGATTGTCGTGGGTTTTGCCTTTCTGGACTTGCCCTGGGTGTTTGTTTCTGCAGGAGGCCAGTGTTCCCGTCTCATGGGGGATGTTGTAGCCAGGAAAGCCCTCCATGGCATGTTATCCTTGGCGGGGGTCTTCCTTAGGCTAATTCAATCTCTGTGTGAAAATGCAAACCTTTGGATGTCCCTGGACGGGTCTATGTGGAAGATCTGGCTCTGGAGAGGTAGAGCTGAGGTAGAGGAGGAAGCTCAGTATCACAGGCTTTCTCGTGCTGCTGCAAAACTATAAGCCCAAGTGGGTTATAGACAGACGTGTAGCTTTATGTTTTGTAAATGTTTGCTCATGGTACTATGGTAAGGGTTGTTGTAGTTCATTAGAGTGCAAATGAAGTCTGAAAGGTCTTTCAAATGAGAGAGAAAAAAAAATAACTCCCTTCAATTAGTTATTTTGTAGTTGATGCATCATAACAACTAAAATGAATATTTTATGATTATGACTATTTTATGTTAATGAATTCAATAAATAACAACAAATAAACAACAACAAATAAATAAGGAAATAAACTTAATGATTTTATATGGATGTGTATAACAAGAAAATAAACAAAATATTAAATAAAACATTTAGAGAAACAATCCAAATATAAACATTTAGGGTATATATAAAAATAAATATATGGCCTTTATGCGTTTTTTCCAAGTGCTGTCAACTACATATATGCCAGTCAACGACAATGACTAGGCAAAAGGAAAAGAAAAAAACACTCAAACATCCATTGCAAAATAAAATGTTACATTATTAAAATAAAAGAATGATACTACGCTAGTGCGACCATTACACACTTCTCATCAGAGCTAGCTGAACTAAACTGAACTCCCATACATGCGTACTTACATCTAATAGGTAAAACAACCACAGAAATAGTCCACTTAAAGGGGACATTAATACACAATGCATATCAAACATTAAGTTACCGTTACAATATCACAATAATAAACCTAGAAAAAAACAGAGCAATCACTAACTTCCCAGACTGTTGTTGTGTTTGCTATAAGGAGGGACGAGGCTGAATCCAGCTTCTTTTTTGCAGCTTCTTATTGACTCTATCCACCTTAAAAACCATGAAGTTTCTGTTTTTTAGCTTTTTAATCACGCTCAAGAGAACACACTGAGCAAGGGCTTATTATGCAGTTCTGGCGCTATCTTGTAGATAGACAACTTCAACCGTCTTTGGCCGCCGACGAGCTCTTTTGAAATTCGAAATATTTTAAAATAGGCACTATTTTTACAAATAAACTGCATAGTTGCAATCTAAAAAACTACATTCTTGACAAAAAAGCCTCAAAAGTACATTTTGTTGTCTAACAACAGTAATATTTGTCAAACTGTAGCATCTCTGCTTGTTGCTTGCTGTATGTGGGCGGAGTAATACAAAGAGGTGAACGGTGGAGAGCCCTTTGTGTGATGTTACTGGCAAAATATTGCACGGCTATAAGCAAATCAAATTCAAGAACCAGACAGAACTGATATATATATACACACACACACACACACACACACACACACACACAACAGTTCTGTCTGGTTCTCGAATCTGATTGGCTGATAGCCCTGATATATTTAAGTATTATCAGCACTTGTACAGCATCTTTACACTTTGTGTATTACTCCGCCTACATACAGCCAGCAACAAGCAGATACTACAGATCTAAAGTGTCATTGGAATCTTTAAAAGATGCTTGCTCAGCTGTTTAACTGTCAGCTTATGATTTAAATCCAACGCGGAAGAAAGTAGTTCCTCATACAAAAGCGTTTTTGAGCCTCTCCATGTTTGATTTTGTTTTTATATACACAATTATGCCTGCGGCCTCGTGTCAACGCACGCCTCCCACCAGTGCCGATATACAGCCATATCGCACTGCTACTCTTGTGATATTGCTCATATATATATGAGACCTTATCCATATTTCTTTGCATGTTGAACACACGTTGACCACAACAGGAAAAAACAGCAATTGCATTAATTGTGTTAATTTTGCATTATTTTTTTATATAAAAAAGAAAATCAAACACGGAGAGTCTAAAAACCCTTTTGTATTAGCAACTACTATTTTCCACCACTTATTCACATCTGCAGCTGATGTCAGAACAGCAGAAGCCGTTATTAATTCACCAACATCACTTTAAAGCTAGTGTTTAAATGATTCTCTAGCGTAATGTCTGAAGTAATGACAAAACAGATAATTTTGCTCACACTTTAAGTTTATTAGGCTGAACGTGACATAAAATGCCATCTGTCTACAGCGATATGTTCTATAAAATCACAGTTTATTACAGTTTCAATAGTTCTCTGTTGCAATCAGTATATCACAATAATTAATCCAGAAAAAAGCTGCGCAATCACTACCAGACTGCTGTTGTGTTTGCAGTAAGGAAAATGCTAAACACACGCGGGCATTTCTGCGTTCTTTCTACTAAAAATACACACATTCCTGATATCGGAGTCCCACACTCACACTCAATACACTACAATTATATGGTGTAAATACAGCACTACAACATACAAAAAGAGAGAGATCAATTTAGAATATCACTTACCAGTTTAATAATGATTTGTTCAGCTGGGCCTGGTTTTTCAAAAGGTTTAATCCGATTAAAATTGATCTGGATTTAGTAATCCTTTATTTGCGATTCATGATCGAGTACTCCAGCTTACTTTTTGAGCCAGTTTTTCAAAGCAACATTGGATTGGATCAATCTGATCCAGATAGAAACTTTTCAGGATCACTAAATCTGGATAGCCAGTGCTCAAACAGAATAGGAAATCACAATGTAGAACTATAGAGATGTAAAAAGCAACGAGTAGAATAGCCAGTGTGGGGTCAATATAACTTTAAAAAATACTAAAAAAAAAAAACAAAAGACAAGAAAAACCCCACCCCATCCTCTTCCAGCAGTCCGCTCATCTGATGCCTAAAACACAAACACTGTCCATTGAGGATATTTATAACAAGTTTAAAATACAGAAGTATTGAAAAAAAAAAAGACTTAATGTCAAAAACTCCACAATAATTTTAGACTTCCTCATCTGATGTGGAGCTTGTCTGAGCATAGCCTTTAGGAGGTGATCTCAAGTCTGGCCTTGGTTATATATTTATTTATTTATTTATAGAACAGTTCTGTCTGGTTCTCAAATCTGATTGGTTAATAGCCATGCAATATTCTGCAATTTCAGAACTCCTACAGCCTCTTTACCCTTTGTGTATTACTCCACCTACATACAACCAGCAAAAAGCAGACACTATAGATCTAAAGTTCAAAAGATGCTTGCTCAACTGTTTAACTGTCAGCTTATAATTTGAATCCAATGTGGAAGAAAGTAGTTCCACATACAAAAGGGTTTTTGAAACTCTTTGTGTTTGATTTAGTTTTTATATACACAACTATGCCATCAAACTGTTGTATAAACACAATATCACACTCTTAGCAGTGCGATATGGCTGTATATTGGCACTGAATGGGCCTGCGGCCTCGTACCATTGCACGCCTCCCACCAGTTCCAATATACAGCCATATCGCACTGGGAGTGTGATATTGCTCATATATATATATATATATATATATATATATATATATATAGTTAAATCCAGATTTTTTTGGATCAAAGTGAACCAAATCTTTCAAAGAAAGTCTGAAAAACCAAAACTAAAGGTTTAATTCTGATCAAAACCAAAATTGGATTACATGATCTAATCCAATTATGTAATGCATTTTTTTCAGAAAGAAAGAAAGAAAGAAAGAAAGAAAGAAAGAAAGAAAGAAAGAAAGAAAGAAAGAAAGAAAGAAAGAAAGAAAGAAAGAAAGAAAGAAAGAAAGAAAGAAAGAAAGAAAGAAAGAAAGAAAGAAAGAAAGAAAGCTAACCTGACTTGGAAGTGCATTGGAAGTAAAGTTTAGTGTAGTTGTGTCAAATCAAATTCCAAACCCTTTTTTCACCCTAATATTACCTGCTCTTATGTTCTTCCCCCTGTGTGTTGTCTTCTCTGTAGAGTGATGAGGAAGAGGAGGATGAGGTATGCCTGAATGTGTGTGATTTGGTTCACTTGAGCATGAATGGTTTAATGTTTTCTTCCTGTAACTCCACTGACCTGTATTGTTTAGCATGTACAATATTACCACACCTGATGTTAGTTCCTGTTGCAACAACTGGAGGCTGTAGAATCTATTCTTCTCTTCATTGTATATGCAATTTTCAAAGTTCTCCATTTAGCTGAACATATGAAAATGTTAAACTAGTTTACTGCTTTACAAACAGTATAATTTATAGATTAAACATCATTTTAGTAGTTCACATTAAACTTAAATCCTGTGATATACAATGTAAATGCATTTTTCAGTATAAGAGGTTTTTGATTTGAGTTCGATTAGAGCACAACATTCTTGTTGTGGAAGTAAAACATTTTTTTTTCTATTCGGAAATTGATTTTAGCTGTAACAAAAAAAAAAACATTTAAAAAAAATTATTTCAGACTTAGTCAAAGGGGTTCATTTATTTTCATTCTTTGTGAAAATCTACATTACCCACAATGCTTTGCAGAATATTTAAAACTTATTTTAAAATGCATATTTTGCATTCATTCATTTTCTTTTCGGCTTAGTTCCTTTATTATTCTGGGGTCGCCACAGCATTATGAACTGCCAACTCATCCAGCATATGTTTTATGCAGCGGATGCCCTTCCAGCTGTAACCCATCACTGTGAAACACCCTTACACACTCATTCACACACATACACTACAGACAATTTTAGCTTGCCAAATTCAACTGTACCGCATGTCTTTAGACTGTGGGGGAAACGGGAGCACCCACGCGAACCCACACGAACCCACACGAACACGGGGAAAACATGCTAAACCCACACAGAAATAACAATTGACCTAGCTGAGGCTCGAAGCAACCTTCTTGCTGTGAGGCAACAACACTACCTATTGCGCCACCACGATGGCCGCATATTTAGCAATAAACTGAAAATAGATTGTTTATATAGATCCAACAAATAACTTTAAAACATATGTTTTCTCATTTGTTGTCAGTTCAGTTTAAACAAATGTTTTTTTGTTGTCTTGTCCTTTTTTATTATTATTTCTTCTAACTTTAACTTGCAATGTTGTTTTATTAAAACAATTTCTTAAAAAAAATAGTGATACAATTAAGTTTTTCCGGATCCCCTCTTCTGTTATATGATGCACTATATAATCCCCTAATGTGTGAATATTATACTACTAAACCATTATAAACTGATCTTTACGAATGTTCAGATGTGATTTTGTTTGTATGTTTTTTTTTTTTATATTGATTATGGGAATATTACTTTTAATCATACTGTACATTGGAAGCATATTTATGAAAGTGCACTGTTTGGAGTGAAACTTATAATAACTAATAATAAAACGTGAAAAAAAATCTTCCAGCGGAGTGCTATTTGTGCTCATATTTTTAATATCGATGACTTTGTGTTGTCAGAGTGGGAAGTTTGCAGGAAGTCCTATGGAGGGTCAGGAGTGTCAACCGCAGGGTTTGGGCTACACAGAGGACGTGACTGAGCATGAGCAGATGACCGCAGTGCTTTGTACCAGCCTGCAGGGTGGCGATAGTCCATCATCTGTCCTTCCTGGCCTTCGCACACGGACCCGAGCCACTCGAGGTACATTCACAATCATGTTATGTAAATATATTGAACAAAATTAATTTTGCAAACTAAAACTATTGGTTAAACAAAATATTATTTTAAATGTATTGGTTAAAACTTTTTGCAACCTGAAATAAAATGTAAAAAAATCTTATATATTTGAAAAACAAATATTTAACACTTACAAATATGTAACACTTTACAATAATGGTAGAAATGTGCATTAAATAACAACTTGAGTGTTGAGGCACAGGACTGTTAACTAATCATTAAGTAATATGTTATTGTTGTTATGGCTTTTGAATTAGTTAGCCATGTGCCTCAAAAAGTAAAGTCATAACATAATGGCACAATTGCAAGTCATTAGCTAATGTTGAATTGAAGTGTTTCTTCCGATAACGATAAACTTCAGGTGAAGGGTCAGGTGAACGGAAGTGCGCGGGTCCCACGGAAAAGCTGGAGGTGAGATATTTGCTCTCACTCCGCACCCAATCTCCGGAGGGGAGGCTCAAGGGGTGGGAGAAAGGAGACCGTCCTCCCAGCGCTCGTGAGCCACTGGCGAAACGCACCAAATCTGCAAGCTAGACAGCATAGCGTCCCAGACTGGCAGATTTCGGGCTGTCACATCCGGGGAAGTGGAAAAGTGCTCTTTCATGATGTTTTCATGGCAGTAAAAAGTGCCGTTGGAAATGGGGCCCCGCCCTCCAGCGGGGAAAGAGCAAGTTCCCTCTTTTCCAGATGGCCTGTCCCAGGGACACTTCGAGGTCCGTTGCCGGACTTAGCGGCGTTCTGGGCAGGGGGGGCTGCCTGCTTCCAAGGTGCCCGACGCGGTTGCTTCGCCAGAGGCGTGTGCGGGGGCGGAGCAGCTCTCGTAGGCGGGCGCCTTCGGCGAGGAGCAGGTATGAATGGCACGGCGGGCGGAGCGGGCTACGGACCGCCGATAAGACATCACCCATCAACTGATCTCTCACCGCCTTGAATTCCTGGGTGAATTTACAGACGGTATCGCCGAACATGGCTTGGGATATGGGGAAGTCAAGAAAGCGGACTTTGTCGACTTCGCGCATATCAGCCAGGGGTGGCGCTCCTGGATCACTAATGTGGACATCGTCCTCCCCAACGCACACGCAGCGGACTCAGTAGTCCGAAGAGCTAAGTTGGCGGCAGTGCGGAGCTTGTAAGCCTGGGTTGGACCCACCCTCGTGCAGCTTGTCCAGCGCCTGCGCTTGGTAGCGCTGGTAGGTGGCTATCGCATGCAAGACGGAAGCAGCCTGGCCCGCAGCTATGTAAGCTCTAGCTCCGAGGGAGGCAGATAACTTACAGGCTTTGGATGGGGGACGAGGCGGACCCCGTCAAGAAGAGGCGCCGCGCGGATTGACCGCCATCGCGCACTCAACCTGAGGAATCGCCACATACCCCCTGGCTGTTCCACCGTCAAGAGTGGTGAGGGTGGAGGGACACGCAGCACGAGCAGAGAAAAGTGCTCTTCAAGACCGCGTGAGCCTACTGTGCACCTCCGGGAAGAAGGGAACACCCCTCTAGTCGGTTTGGAGATGGTTTATCCCCCAGCTCCGCGGCCGAACCGACTAGAGGGGTGTTCCCTTCTTCCCGGAGGTGCACAGTAGGCTCAGCAGCCCGGGAAAGCACCGCTAACATGTCCGTTTCAGGATCCGTAGTGACAGCGCTCACCTGCCCGGAGGGGTCTGGATCATCGGACAATAAAAGCCCACCCTCCGATGCCGCGGTGGACGTCTGGTCTCCGGTGTCATCGGGCGTAAGGGCTACCATCTGTTAGACGGATCGCTTCCCCCGCCCAAAGCTTGGATGGAGCGCTTAGAGGAGCGGGGTGTCCGCGGCGCCGTGGGCGACGGATTATCTCTCGCTGAAACTCTCAGATCTGCCCGAGTGCCCGCTGCAGAGCAGGGGACCACTGGGGTGGTTCGCCCTTTTGCAAAAGCTAGCCGCGATATTTACTGCGCAACAGTCATGGCATCGCAATGACGACATGAACTCCACGCGAGCAGCGCATTAACATGCTGGACCCCCCAGGCATGCAACGCAGTGCCCGTGCCCATCATCCGAGGACAGGAAACCACCGCATCCAGAAACGCACAGTTCGCAGCGCCGTCCTGAAAAGGACGTGCTGCATGACTGTGTTGCTCTTTCTGTGAAGTTTGCAACTTTATACGCACCGCTCTGGAGGACCCGACCCAAAGAACGCCAGGCAAGGGAGAAACCCAGCTCGACCGTCTGCCACTGCGTGTACACACTCTGGACCGGGAGAATGCTCTCGTTCGCTCAGAACGGCTGGTCACAGCAGGAGGAACCCTCATCGACTCGATCAGAAAGTCTCTGAAGCGAAAAGGATGGCGTTTGTTCGCTCCAGGTGTGCTTATATGCTGGGATAATTGGCAATGAGGCACACCTGTGCAAGCTTACGCTGCCAATTAATTGCATTCATTGGCCCGTTCAATACTCTTTCAGACAAGCGGCTTCTGAACCGAATCCTCCCATTTTGTGGATTTTCACAAAGATCAAATCCACTTAATAGCACTGAAGTTCCCCAACCGAAGGGGAACACAAGGACGCAAAGCCGCTAAAGAACGCATATTGAGAAACAGCTACAGCCTTGGAGTCGGTTGCTAGAGATACGGATGTTGGACGAGGCGAAGTTCAAAGTCCTTCCTGGGGTTTCTGTAGTTTCAGAGTTATGGTGTTGACCCGATGGCTTGTTGTTGAAGCGGTGACGACTGGCAGAGATGACCGGCAAAAGATGACAAAGAAATTTCCTTTGTTCAAAGTTTTATAGGCTTTTGTAGAGGCTGGGTCTACACAATAAGTGTCCAATCAGAGAAGCTGTGGGGTGGGGTCACACTGCAGTTGCCTCCTCTTGAAGGCTGGGTTGGCAAATTGTGTTGGTGCTGCTTTGATGGCAAAGTTGTTAAAATAAAGAATCATAACATGGACACTTTTTATAGTATGGTTTCTTCATATAAACCAATGAATTTGAAACTTTCCTAGCTTTTAATCAATACCAAAGATGAAGTATTTCACAAACATTCTTTAGATTGAATTTGTCACTGAGGGCTATAGCTCAGTAACTATCCATAAAAGTTTTGTTAAACACATGGAACATGTACACACAAAAACCTACAGAAACATAAAGCAAACATACATTACTCAAATAAACACAGTTTTACTTAAATGTCCATTTAAACTTTAAAAGCTTTTCTGATCGCTTCTTGGTCTGCCTAGAATGTGTATTCCTCTCAGACGCGGGTCGCAGGTGTGAATCAAAAGGCACTTCTCAAAAACCGGTTTGGAGGGTTTTTAAGTGTAGAGCCTCTTTTATTGTTTTAAGGTGTAGAGTTAATTAGCACGCAGTTGTGATCGTGAATGGCAAGTCATCCTCTGGATAACCTTTTGCTGGGTGCCTTTGGATTGCTTTGAAAATGAAATCAAAGCTCAGACATGTAGGTACCAACCAATCTTTTAAGAATAATATGGTCTGTGACTTGTTCGGTTCTGGAACAATCCGTTGACCCCATACACCATTGACCCTAAGTAGTATAATGGAATTCAGTAGTTCATAATTTCACCTTTCTTCAAAATATTTTATTTTTTGTAGATAGAAACTTAAAAAGATTTGAAACTACTTGAGAGTAAATAGTGAGTAAATTTTCATTTTGATGTAAACTTTCCCTTTAAACTTTGCTTTGGCTTACAGTGTTCTGTCATTTCTGCCAAGCTATATTTACTAAGACTAAATCGAAACTTGTTGTCTTCTCATCTGTTTCCAAGGTCATACAGCACTTTTGTCCACTGCAAATGAAGACACTTCTAATTGCACAAATGACACAGCAGATGAGATCATGGAGCGGATTGTGAAATCAGCCACTCAGGGCCCCAGTCAGAGAACACAGCCTCGTGAGAGGAGACGTTCCAGAGCAAACCGCAAATCCTGTGAGTCTCAAACACTAATTAATACACCTTGATTTAAATGCTTTTTGGTTGATTTGATTACAAATAGATGTCCATGGTTTAAACCTGTGGTCTCATTTAAAAACTTGGCTTGTCTAGAAAATAGAAATTACCTCACAAAGGTTGCAAATAAAAACAATCTTGATATGCGCACCTTCAAGTAAAGTCTGGACTAGAGTCGTTTAAAGTATCGATTTCAGTACTAAGTTTTCCAACGTAATATATTTTGATCAGGTCTTCTGCTCAAGAAGGCTTGATTTATTTGATCAAATACAGTAAAAGCAAGAAATATTGTAAAATATTATTGCAATTTATAACTGTATTCTGTTAAAATGTTATGTACTATTGTGATGGCATATCCTTTCAGTTATTCAGTCTTCAAGCGTCTTTTCAGAATTTTTTATTTTTTTTAATGACTGATACAATGTCTACTACTACTTATTCCTATTCCACTACTACAACTACTACCCCTTCAGAACAAAATTTGAACAAAAAAGTTTTACAAGACTGTAGTGATTACAATGTTACTCAAATTTATCAGGAAATAATTACAATTAAAACCTATTAAAATATCTTCAATATGTTTGTACAAATTTAAAAAACACAAACATTGATTGTTATTTAAATAGAATTTTTGTAAAATATTTAATAAATATATAATTTATTACTATAATTTGTATTAGTCTGAATAGCATTTATTACCATTTTAAAACAGCAGGTGTTTAATATTATATATGATTTTCTGATCTCCCTTAAAAAATGGCATCATTCTCCACAGTTGCCTCACACTTATTCTATCTGTCGACAGTGAGAAGAACACTGAAGAACGGTCTTACCCCGGAGGAGGCACAGGCTCTGGGTTTGGCCAGCGGCTCTGAGATGCAGGTGTGAGACAGCAGACGCTCAGGGTCTGGACAAATAATATGAGCTGGACACACATGTTTGCTTGATTCTGGAGCAGGTGCATGTTTCTGGGTTTGTCTTTTACTGTGGACAACTGATATTCTCACAGGAGAAAGGGATTATAATTACTAACCCATCATACTATGCTTATCCTTGGGCGTGTAGTCAAACCTTTATTAGCTTCACTTGCATTTGCATATTGTCCCAGCGTGGAATGATTGAAACCACTCAGGTGCACGTCCACCGTTCCTGCTCTTTACCAGTGGACTGTTAACTTGAGTTCCCAAATGTTATTTTAATGCATTTTTGAAAGAAAACAAGCACAGTTGCTGCGCAACTTCCTGATGCACAATGTTTCTAGACGCTCACACATACACAGAGAATGCTTGTCTAGTTCTCCAGTACAAAGGCAAATATCCATCTCTTACCGCTGTGGCCTTTAAAATAAACCCAAAATAATTTTGTTGGTACTGGCTGTTTGGTTTAATTCAGATGACATTAAGTAGTAGCACCTTTAGCGATCACATCTTATGTAAATCAGTGGTGATTTTTATAGGTTACCACTGTGATAAATTTGTTTGTCTCACCTGTTTTAAAAAAGGCAGGGTTTGTGTTACATGTCTGGTTAGCTTCAGTTGAGCTGTGAAAGCTGTGTGTCCACTAAAGTATTTTACTGTAGCTCTTTTCAAAATGCCTAGCTGTAGAGTGTTTCACGCATTATGCTGTCAAAATGTCAACTGATACAAGGTTAAAAGACCAGAAATAACCAAGTTGGCTGGCGACAATGGCCTAGTTGTTAGTGCGTGGGCATATAGCACTTAGGTGCTCATGGTGACCCAAGTTCAATTACAGGCTTGAGGTCCTTTGTTGATCCTTTCTCTCTCTCTCATTTCTGTCTCTTCCCCAGTCCTAAAGGTTTAAACATCTTTAAAAAAGCATTTAATGTAGAACTATTTTCAATTCTAATCAAGATTCAAAATGTTAAAACTATAGTTCACCCACAAATTAAACTTCTCTCATCTTCTTGTCATCTTTTCAATCCCGTTCGACTTTCTTTTTTCTGTTAAAGCATCAGAACCAACTGTCAACTTCTATAGTATTCATTTTCCTATTTTCCTAATTGTGTAAATTATCATTTCGGGTCACTCAATAATTTGTAGTCTGAAATGTGCCTACAGTGCAGTGCTTTTAGTCTTTTTTTGTTTTTCACTTGAGACGGTTAGTCTAGGCATCAGTTACTAGCAACTGTTTCCACAGATCATTTGTAAAAGATATACCTTGTCCTACAACCAAAATTCTTAAACTTTCTCGTCAAATCTCTGGTAACCAGAAAGAAATAAAATAAAACATATATGCTGCATGGTGGGACGTCATGGGGGCACAGTAAAGAAGGTCGCTGGTTCAAGCCCCGGCTGGGTCAGTTGGCTTTTCAGTGTGGAGTTTGCATGTTAATAATAATAATAAACAACTCCTTACATTTATATAGAGCTTTTCTGGACACTCAAAGCACTTTACACATAGGGGGGGATCTCCTCATCCACCACCAGTGTGCAGCATCCATCTGGATGATGCGATGGCAGCCCACAACCACCCATGAGTATGAGTGTGAATGCAAGAGTGTATGGGTGTTTCCCAGTGTTGGGTTGCAGCTGGAAGGGCATCCGCTGCAAAAAACATATGCTGGATAAGTTGGCGGTTCATTTCGCTGTGGCGACCCCTGATTAATAAAAGGATTAAACCGAAAAGAAAATTATTGAATGCTGCATGGTGCTATGTTGTTTTTGGAGATTTTCCACTGCATTCAAGATAATACATACTATTTAGTCCTTATTTTAGAACCACCTACGGTGAGGTTCATAAACACTGCTGATTAGTTCGAGAGAATCATCATTACCAGCATCACTTTCAATGTGAGATACTGTGTGCTCATTTGTTTAAGTTGCGTTTATGTTATGGAAGCATAGGTGACACAACTATAGCGATAATTAGCGGTACTAAACTGCTGTGGAAATCAAACCAAACCGAAGTTAGTGGAACTATACCGAGCAGTGGAAAAAGTGACTTCAGTGCATCTGTTTGTTGTCATTTTTAAAAAAAAGTTGAAAAAAAAAGAATTAATTTATATTAATATATTAATTATAATTAAAAAGAATTATAATTATATGAATAGTAGCTATGAAAAAAATGCTTTGGTGGACACATGCTTTAGGGGAATTCTTAAAATGTTTTCTTTTTTCCCCTTGTGTGATCAAAACCTGTTTAACTCTAAGATAATCAACTTACTTTCACACAAATAATGACAAACCAACAAAAAGTCTGTATTTCTCCCTCCAGCTTCAATTTCTTCATGCATTTTCTCTTTAACAATACGTTCATGTCATAACTTGAGCTGCAAAAGTAGACAGATTTCTAATTTAACTAAAAGGACTTAGCCATATTTGTTAAAAAAAAGTGATAGCATTTTTATCAAGAGTGCCTTGAAGAAATGTGGTTCTATCAAAATCTGATTATTGGCATTTCAGGAAAAGTAAGTGGGAAACATTTAGGGTTTTTTTCTGGCATTTTAGAAGAATAGCTCTCTTAAATCACAATTTTGATTTTGCATTAAACCTTGAAACTCACTTGATTTTCTGTTGTTGGGGGAAAATGGATATTGTGAGTTAATAGTTAGCTCTATTTAGATCAAATTAAACAGTTAATGTGTTTGTTGCAAAAAGCTATCATATTACTCATATGACTTTTAATATAGCCCTGAAATCATTGGACTACTTTTTGGTGCTTTTACTTGTTAACAGCTATAGATCAATACAAACGATTGTGAAAAGATCTGCATGACAATTCTTCATAAAAAAAATTTTTACTGAAAAAAATCTAAATCCTAAATCCTGGTTTGAAGCCAGGATGTTACAGAACGTTAGCAATAGTTGGTCAACAAACCCTTTCCTGTTTTTTGTTTTTTTCTTTGTGTTTAAGTTAATTGCTACATTTTTTGTTGATGTTTGTTTTGTTTTTTCTCCACAATTTACCGCAGAGACACGTCCAGTGTCTGTGATAGTAGAACCATTTAGCACCTTATCATGTGTAGCATGCAATTTCGCAAAAGGAATTGCAAAATGGAGTGTTATAGAGTATGTTTTCACCTTTCCCTCAGATTTTTACTCTGAGTTATGTGGATAAGAGACTAGATACTTGTAAAGTAGAACCCCAATGTAGAGGCTAAACATGAGACAGATGCTGTAAAATTGTGTAAATGTCACTTCAACTTTTTTATTTGATGTTGTGTTCATGTTTTGTTTGTATTTTGTATAGAATAGTGTATTATAGGTCAAATGCAGTGTTATTCTGTGAAAATTCTAATTTAAGAGAAAGCAAGCCATGCATGGTTTAAATAACAAACGTCGACAGGCCGTGTCATTATATTTGGGGATACGTGGATAGAGCCTGTGATGTCTTGATACCCTGTGAACGTAGCTTTTGTGTTTCATGTGTTTACGCAGCACAGACTTGAAACATTGTCATGCACCAATCAGACCTGCTCAAATGGCCTTTGCTATTATTGTTGCACTTGCATACAGAGTTTCACCCACTGCTATAAGTGCCATAACAAGTTGGTTTTGAATAAAAGATCAAGAATGTGAAGAAAACAAAACATGAATTCTAAATTCTAAAAGGACAAGCATTTACTGTACTTCGCAATAAAAAGCTTTTACAGCAACTCCTAGAACTCAGAGTCTGACTTTTTCTTTGTAACTGCGTGACTGAGCCAATTGAGGTTCTCTGATACAATAACAAGTGGTCAGTTAAAATCTACTGACAACTCTTTTGAGATTAAACTTTATTTAGACCATTCTCTATGTGATTTTGTCATGACTTCTGCAGGAGTGCTTAACGCAACACCCAAATGAAGAAACCCAATGCTATGCAGCTTACAAGTAAGTGGGAAAGCAATTGAATAAAAGGGTGTAGTCTGCAACAATTTTGATTTGGTGTGCTCACAATCACATTTTGTCAGAAATTATACTGAAGGTTTTTGACTTTCTCTAGAAGTGGGTTAAAGTGGACAAGCTATGATTTGTGTAATCTACGAACAAGGCATGGTACAAATGCAGCACACTAACCATGTTGCATTATTGAAATAGAGGCTGTTTGTACCTAGTCACCTCTTCATGACTTTTTATGATTGCATAGCCACCCTATTGTTAATTATATGCATAGCAGTTATATGCATAGCCACCTATTTAAATCCAACCCAAAATGTATTTAAGACATCTAAATTTGATCACTCACACAACTTCAGGAGGTGGTCTGCATTAAAACTTGTCTAAATGACGTCTAAATGCATCTAGTTGTTGAAATCACATACACAAGAGCGTGGTTCAATAATATTTAGTTCTGATGACTGTGCAGGCCATACAAGATATTCAACTTCACCTTCATGTTCATTAGAATGATGTCACCAGTCTTGCTGTATTAATGCATTATCATCCTGATACATGACAGCGCGCTCAGAATACAATGTTTTAACCATTTGGTACACATGGTCCCCCAGAATGGTTCGGTAGTCGTTGGCACTGATGCACCCATCTAGCCCAAGTATTTGGCCTTGGGAATGCAATGATATTACTGTCCAAACCATCACTGATCCACCACCATGCTTCACTCTGGGCATGCAACAGCCAGGGTGGTATGCTTCTTTGGGGCCTATCCACACTCTAACTCTTTTTTTTTTTATGTGGGAAAGACATTGACGTATAAGATAACTCATGTTTCACATTGTCCACAGCCCAAGATGTTTGCTGTTGGCACTATTCAAACTGACGTTTGGCACTGGCATGGTTCACAAAAAGTTTGGCTACAGCAGCCCAGCCATGTATATTGACTTTGTGGAGCTCCCCAAGAACAAGTTTGTTGGAAACAGGAGATTTGGGCAGCTGTAGGTTTATGTTTTTGGATACAGTAAGTTTGACACCTGGCCATACCTTTCTCAGGTGTTATGCTCACATTACCCTGGATACCATGGCTCTTGATACATCACAAAAACTTGCTGTTTTGGTCACAAATGCACCAGCAAAATGCATACCAGCAGTTTGTCCTCGTTTGAACTCTGATATGTTAAACATAATGCATGCTTGCAGTATTTTAAAGAGTCACGAAACGCCAAAACACATTTTTTGAGCTGTTGACAGTCGTCTATGTGTCCCACACTGCTAAAAACTGTTTTAGGACACATATCTCACTAAAAAGTGAAAATTGGTTGTTTTACGTTATTTCGAGCAAATTCATACTTCCGGTTTGAAACTAATTTTTGAAGCTGCGTCACGGCCATGAGATCTTAGCATGTATTCCAGCGTGTAGACTGGACTTCTGTACCTGGGTGTCCCGTATTACGTCTCTGAGTGTTGCATTCATTCTGCTGACCATACGAACTATAAATTTGCCATCTGAATGAACAAAGAAAGGACACTGATAG